GGGGGGAGAGCGGAGCCCCCGCCGGGGCTCCGGCTGCCCCCCCGGCTCCGGCGGGCCGGCAAAAAAGCCAGAGCCGGCCCTGGGAGGTTAGAATGTTAGTTGGAGCGGACCGGTGTGAAAACTGCCCCGCTGAGGTCTGGAGGAGAGCAGGTTGATTCGGTGGCGTCCGGCTCTGGTTTATATAAAGCCCCGGTGGGTGGGGGCGTGAGCGCAGTAGTTAGGATGAGCGGGGAGCGGCGGGGTCGCTTGGCCGCGGTAGGGGAGCGGCTGGCGGCTATTGCCCGCAGCGCGGTGGCTGCAGGAGTTGAGCTGCGAGCCGTGTTGCAGGAAGAACTAGCGGCGGTAGCTACAGTGGCGGAGCCCGAAGGCGGCCAGGCGCTGGAGCCGGAGAAGATTGGGGCGAGCTCGTCCCTATTGGTTAGGCTGGGTGAGCTCAGGCTGACACCGCTGAGGAGTGGGGGTGCAGAGCGGTGCCCAGGTACTTAAAGGGGGTCGGGATAAATTAGGGTTCTTTTCTCCTGGGGATCAGGGTACAATGAAGTACGCAATCGAGGTGACTTAGTAGGGTAGGGCTGTCTAGATTGCTATGGGAGTTTTAAAGAAAACGTGGTTTGGTAAGTGTTACTACTTTCTGCATCTAAAAGGTGTCCTTTTTAGTTTGCTCTTCAATACAATTCTAAATGGATTGTCATCTCGGGTTTAGTTTGTTTGATTTTTCTTTGGCTCTTTCTGGCCTTTTATTTGTTTGCAGTTAGGATCTGCCCTTCACCAAACACCAATGATCTTAATTCTGTGTGTTTTCTCTTTGTTTACTTTTTTTTTACTAGAAAAGTTTTTTCTGTTCTTTAACATTGTTTTGTAAAGAAAAATCCTAATCTTTCTGTTCCTAGGGATTTATGGCCTAGGTGGGATTTCATTATAGTACTTTTCAGGTACTCAATACAAATGTGTTGACGGTAGACCAGGGGTTCTTTAACTGCATTGCACCACAACCCTTTTCTAACAAACATTTCTGTGACTCCAGGAGAGGGGACTGAAGCCTGAGCCCATCTGAGCTCTGCTGCCGTGGGGGATGGGACAAAGTCCCAGGGCTTCAGCCCCAGGGTGCCTATAAACTGAGCCCTGCTGCCTAGGGCTGAAACCCTCCGGCTTCTGCTTTGGCCTGGGGCAGTGGGTAGGGCTGCCAACCCACCAGGATTGGCCTGGAGTCTCCAGGAATTAAAGATGAATCTTTAATTAAAGATTGTCATGTGATGAAATCTCCAGGAATATATCCAACCAAAATTGGCAACCCTAGTGGTGGGGATTGGGCTTTGACCCTGTGCCCCAGCAAGCCTAAGTCAGCTCTGGTGACCCCCCTTAAAATGGGGTCATGACCCAAAGTTTAAGAACCACTGAGGTAGACAATCTGGGACTGTAGGTTCTGAGCTGTGGGATGGAGATTGGGGAACAAGAGCTGTTCCAGCTCTGTGGATGGGTATGGCTGGTGTTCAGGAGTTTAGTACCTTATTCCTGTCCCCCATTTTCTCTTTGTAGAGGTTTCTGTTTGTAATAGAAGCATATAGTGCTGGAAGTCGCACTTTTGATTAAAATGGTCCGTGAGGGATCCTACCTAGATAGAATATAGAATTTTTTGTGTGGGAGAAAAATCTGAGTTTATGTTGCAGCCCAGGAGAACTGGGAGGAATTAGCAGCTCAGCCTCTTAACAGTGAGAGTCTGGGGCACTTAAAGGTACAATACTCTTCAGTATGTGATTTGCTCTGTAGTAGTTGCTCCTTAAAAAAACAGTTTTGGCTGCGGTAGGAATCTTGTTTTGACTGCTGTGG